ATAAATAGTATATAAAATTTATATATAAATATAATATGTAAAATTTATATATAAATAAATTTTTATTAATATATATACATGAAAATAATACTAAAATAATTATTTTATCTCTTTATTTTATACAACTTAATATGCACAGTTAACATGACTTTCACGTTACAATTAGCAAAGGCAAAACGGTGGGATTTAACCGTCGTAGGTTTGTTCCAATATAGTTACAATTAGCAAAGGCAAAACAGTGGTATACGGCCTGAATTAAGACCGTTCACTTTCATATTAAAAAAAAAAAAAGAAACGAAAAGAAAAGAAAAAACATCTAAACCATATTCCAGCACCGCCGTCCGTTTATATACTTGTCTCTCCGCCGCGGCGGCTGGTCCCTTACGTTGCTTTTGTCGCCGCTGAATTACCGTCTCTGTCGTCGTTCCTCACTTCATTCATTGATCAGTCAAATATGTGAATTCCATTACAAAGTCGTGTATTATCAGAGTCTCAAGAGAGGAATACCAAAAAGTTTGGTCTGCAATTACCATGCTCTTGTCTGCGAAGTCCAGTGCACGGTCTCGTCATTAAGAGTTGGGTAATAATAAGGAAGAGAGAATGAGAGGTAGAGAGAGAGGGGGAGCGGACAGACCCAGAGCACGCGAGGGGCGGAAGGCACAGAACTGGGAGCTATCCAGAAACCAGAGAGGGAATCGACATGGGCAAAGTAATGGATACTCAGGCAGAAGATCAGGAAAGAGTCAGGAAGTGTGGGGGTATGACAAAAGGGTGTATAACCAGGCTACTGTGTTCTTCTTTACAAACTTTCCAGATGAATGGAGTTACGAAAGCATGTGGCAGACCTTTCTCAAACATGGTAGAGTCCTGGATATCTATAGCCCGCTGAGGAAATCCAAATCAGGGAGTAGATTTGGGTTTGTAAGATTCTTAGATGTGAAGAATGTAGGGGCTCTAGAACATCAACTGGACCAAATTAGAGTAGGGAAGACCAAGCTGTGGGTTAATAGGCCAAGATTCAGAGAAGCAGAGGAGAGGAATAGAGAAGATAGAAAGCCAGTTGAGAACGATCATGTCAGATCAGGGAGATCGTATGCTGAAGTCGTAAAAGGAAAGAATAAGGTGGAGGATTATCCAATGAGATAGACACAACCGGCAGCAGAGGTAGAAATTGATAAGCATAAGCAGCGAGATAGAGATATGCCAAAAAGGCCAACACAAGTATGGAAAATGAGGAATAATGAACGTGTTAACGCTGGCCTAGAGTTTAGGGTGAAGGAGGAAGAACTCACATGGCTTGAAGGCTGTTATGTTGGAACTACCTATTCAGTGGAGATCATTCCGACACTACAGGAGAAATTTTTCATGGAAGGATATTTCTCATGTAAGGTAAGACCAATGGGGGGAAGACTAGTCTTACTAGAAGGAGGTGATAAGGAGGAGATGAAGGACTTGGTGGAACTAGCACCGGAATGGCTGGGGCAATGGTTTGAGGATATAAAACCATGGAACCCAACATTGGTTGCAAGAGAAAGGTTTGTTTGGCTAAGATGCCAAGGCGTCCCAGCCCATGCTTGGGGACCTGAATTCTTTGCCACAATCGGGAATGTATGGGGGAAATTTATATCCACTGACGAAAGCACCAGCAAGAAGAAAAGATTTGATATTGGGAGAATTCTGATATCCACCCCTGTTATGGAGTTCATTTCAAAATCAATGAACATAAGGGTGAATGACATGCCATTTGTGATCAAAGTTATGGAGGAAGAGGCAACTAATGGCATCTTTTCCATGTCATCTGACCATGTGTTCAAAGAGTTAACTGATGCAGAAGACAGTAGTTCAGAAACGTGGTCCATGTACAGTGACATCGCTGGTGCCGGTGACGAGTCTGTTCAAGAAGGCGGCTGCTCCAAGTACTCCTCCAAATGTGCAGATGGGAAGGAGGAAGATGATGACAAGGAAAGAAGTGCCAACGTGGAGAGCAAGAACGAAATGGTTGATGACGTGGAACCGGAGAATGGGCGAGAGCGTGATAGTAGACGACTTGACAGTCAAGAGAAGAACGTAACGGCTAGACAAAAGAGTTTTGAATTTGAAAATGTGGAGAACAGCTTGATGAGTGATGAAGAAGCCTTCAAAAAATCAGATAATAAATGTAAGGCTGTAGGCATCGGGAATACTCAAGAACTTCTTATCAATACACAAGGGGAGACGGCGGAGGAGGTTGGCTATGTCCCCGATAGCCTGTGTGAGCATTTAATGCAGTGCCAGGATCATGATTTAAAAAGAGGGAAGGGAGATTTAAGCGGGCCAATCAATCCAAGCCCAACCAAAAAGCAAAGAGGCGATAGGGATCTTGGGCCTGACCATCAAGCAGGTCTGGAGGATGGAGATATTTGGGCCACAAACTGGGGTCCGGGAGCAGCAAAAAAGAAGAAAGTTGATAAAGGTAAAGACACAGAAGTGGAGAGAGGAAAGTCAGTAGATACGTGTGACAAGGAAGGGGAGGAACAGAGAGGTGATGGAAGCTCCGTTGGAATGGAAACGCACAGTGAGGATCAATCTTTTTGGCAAGGGTTTGAAAGCGAATCTGGGCAAGTGAAAGCTTGGATGGGTAGATCAGAGAGGAAATTGAAAAAGCAGAGGAAAAAGAGGATCCGATCATGCTCTTACGTATATCAGAAATCCAGGAGAGGGGAGTGCCCAGGGATGGAGACGGAACAGAGCAGATCAAGAAAAGCCAGAGAAATAGAGTTCAGGATGCCGAAGTTCAACCCAGATTCACAGGACAAGGCAGCAGTGGATTCAATCACAGACAGCGGCATTGAAAATAGAAATAAATGCTTGCGAGATGAGTCAAAAAGTGGCACAGGAAAGCAGATCTGGGGGTTTGCAAAGATAATTGGAGCGGTGGATCGAGGTAATGAGGAGGAGGTATTGCGAAGACTAGAAGCAATGGAGGAACGGGACAGGGAGTCGTATCGAAGATCAGTGATTGGAGAGGCTGAAAATGGGGGAAATAGGAGTGCAGATTTATTATGATTTTTATGTCTACCAACATCAGAGGAGTAGGAAGGGAAGGAAAGAAAAGAGGGGTGAGCGAATTAGTTGCTCGGGAGAAGGTAGAGTTCTTATCAGTACAAGAAACCAAGGCAGAGGTCGTTGATAATCAACTATGCAGAGCTCTATGGGGATCGGACAACTTTGATTGGGTTGCTCAACCCTCAAAAGGTATGGCTGGGGGATTGATTTGTATGTGGAATCCTGATTTATTGAAGAAGGATAGAATTATAGAAGGGGATAACTTCATTAGGATTTTTGGATTTTGGGGGGTGTCTAATATTCCGGTGTATATTATAAATATCTATTCCCCGTGTGATTTGGCTGGTAAAAGAGCTCTATGGGGTGCACTCAAAAATATTATTCTTGAGAATGGGGGGAATTGGTGTTTAATGGGAGACTTCAACGCAGTGAGAAATGAACAGGAATGGCGAGGAGGGAGTAACAGAAGAGATATGACGGAGTTTGACCTGTTTATAAGGGACTGTGGCTTAGTGGACCTACCATTAATTGGTAGGAAATTTACTTGGTACCAAGCCAATGGAGCAGCGATGAGTAGATTGGATAGATTCTTGCTATCAGAAGAATGGTGCTTGAACTGGGAGCATATTAAACAATGGGGTTTGAACTGTTCATACTCTGATCACTGCCCAATTGTGTTAAAAAACCAGATAATTGATTGGGGTCCAAAACCCTTTCGATTCTTCGACGCATGGCTGGAAACCCCTAAGTTTAAGGAGATGGTGAGTGAAGTATGGAAGTCAAAAATGGTGAGCGGGTGGAATGGGTTCCGTCTGAAGGAGAAATTGAAAGAAACAAAGAAGGTGTTGAAAGCCTGGAGTAGGAACATGGCAGCAGAGATTGACATGAGCATTCAAAGGAGCATCGATCATATTGCTTCCATTGACAAAAAAGGCGAGGTGATGCCACTGCCTATAGAAGACATTGAGCTGAGAAGGAATAATTTTCTGGAATTATGGAATAATCAGAAGATAAAGGAAAGCATATGGCGTCAAAAAGCTAGGAAGACTTGGCTGAGTGAAGGGGACGCTAATACAAAATTTTTCCACAAATGTGTGAAAGGACGAAGAAGGAGGAATGACATAGTGAGTATTATGGTGGGCAGTGAGCGGTTGGAGGAAGTAAAGGAACTTAAAGAAGGTGTGGCAAGGCACTTCGAAAGCTTGTTCCAAGAGGAAGAGTGGCAGTGCCCAGTGCTAGATGGAATTGAATTTAAGAAGATTTCAACAGAGGAGGGGTCTATGTTGGAAGCACCGTTTAAGGAGGAAGAGGTTAAACAAGCAGTGTGGAGTTGTGAGAGCTCAAAGGCACCGGGGCCTGATGGGTTTAATTTCAGGTTCATCAAGGAAATGTGGGAAGTAATCAAAGGGGATATACTGGGGTTTGTTGACGATTTCCAAAAGCATGGAAAACTGGTTAAGGGGGTAAACAGCAGCTTCATTGTATTAATACCCAAAGTCGACAACCCACAAAAAATAGAAGAATTTAGACCCATCTCACTGGTTGGGGTCATGTATAAAATAATTGCCAAACTGCTAGCACATAGGCTGTCCTCGGTTTTAAATGGAGTGATCGGGGAAAATCAGATGGCTTTCATCGGAGGAAGGCAACTTGCGGATAGTGTGGTTATTGCAAATGAGACTATAGATGAGGCTCATAAAAGGAAACAAGTAGGGTTTGTACTTAAACTTGACTTTGAAAAGGCGTATGATAAAGTATGCTAGGCCTTTTTGGACTACATGATGATGAGATTGGGATTTGGCCAAAAATGGAGAGGGTGGATGACTGAATGCTTGACGACAGCTGAGGTATCGGTGTTACTTAACGGGAGCACCACTAGACAGTTCAGGATGCAAAGAGGGCTCAGACAAGGAGACCCATTATCCCCCTTTCTATTCCTAATAGTTGCGGATGGTCTTAATGGCATTATCAAATCAGCAATTTCACATGGAATGTTTGAGGGGATTTCAGTTGGTCAAAATGGCATGAAAGTATCTCATCTACAGTTTGCGGATGATACGATTGTATTTGGGAAAGCCTCAGAAGAAAACATGTGGGCTGCAAAATGTATTATGAGGATTTTCGAGATTGTCTCGGGGCTGAAGATTAATTTCGGAAAAAGCTTGCTCATGGGCATAAATGTCTCAAATGATTGGATGAAGAAGATGTCGATTATAATGAATTGCAAGCAAGGAGTTTTGCCTTGTAAATATTTGGGGATGCCGATTGGGGGTAGATCTAGAAGCATTGCGTTGTGGAAACCCATCATTGATTCTTTTAAGAAGAAACTTGCAGGCTGGAAATCCAGGTTCATATCTCTTGGCGGAAGGATCACGCTCCTTAATTCCGTGCTGTCTAGTCTCTCGGTGTTCATCATGTCTGTCCACCTGTTACCTAAAGGTTTGATTCTTTCACTTGATAAAATTCGTAGAAGTTTTCTTTGGGGGGGTAGAGAGGGTAGCAAGAAGATTAATTGGGTGTGTTGGGAGAATGTGTGTAGGAACAAAATGGAGGGTGGCTTAGGTGTAAAGGACCTTAGAAGATTTAATTTAGCACTGCTAGGAAAGTGGTGGAGTAGGTTGGCTGGGGGCGAGGAAGGATTTTTGTACAAGGTCATTAGAGAAAAATATGGAAATGGAGGGGGTAACTGGATTAGTTGGATTGAGAAAAGGTGCAAGAGGGGGTCCTTATGGTGGAGGGACGTTTGTCATCTTGATAATTTGTATCATAGTAAGGTTGGATGGCTTTCGAATGGCTATAGACTAAAATTAGGGGATGGTAAATTGGTTAGCTTCTGGAAGGATGTGTGGATAGGGGATAGGCCCTTGGCTGATAAATTTCCAAGATTATTTCTTAATTCCATAGGCAAAACCAAGAGCATTTTCCAAATGGGGCAATGGACCAACGGAAGATGGACTTGGTCATTACAATGGAGAAGATCCACATTTTCTTGGGAGGAAGAATCACTATCGGAGCTGTGGGGTCTTTTGGAGGCAAACCAACCAACTATGGGATGGGAAGATCACTGGGAGTGGAGGCATGATGATGATAAAGGCATGTACTTAGCAAAATCTGGATATCAAGTCCTCTCAAGTAATCAAAACGCAAGCAGGAACGACATACACGAAAGAGTTTGGTGCAAAATTATTCCTACAAAAATTTGCGCCTTCGTGTGGAAAGTCCTACAAAACAGAATCCCTTCAAAGTTGAATCTGCTCAAAAGAGGTATCATCTCAGATCCTACCCTTGCTACATGTAGTTTATGCAAAGAGAGTATGGAGGATATAAATCATTTGTTTCTGCATTGTAAAATTGCATCTGTAGTATGGTCTAAATGTTTTCAATGGTGGAGGATTACGTGGGTAGAAGCGGATAATTGTTTGGCATCATTCGAACAACACTTGGCTTGCTTTAATGATGTAAAAACTAAGATAGGATGGGATGTAGTATGGTTTGCAATTATCTGGTCCTTATGGATGGCTAGGAATGAGAAGTCCTTCAAAAATCATGACCAGGATGCAAGTAGAATTTTTGAACTTGTGCCATTGAGGACATTCCAATGGATTAAAAGTAGATCACCTGGGTACTCATTTGATATTTGCCATTGGATCCTAGACCCCGTGGAATGCTTGAAGGACAAACGGAAGAAATAACTACCTTGTGCGGATATGGGTGGTGGAGTGACGTGAGTGAGCTCATTGAATATCTCTGTGTTTTATCTCGTTCCAGTTTTTGTTTTAATGTAGCTGGAATAGATAGCGTTTTGTAACGGGTTGGAGTACCCCTTGTACTCCCTCATTTAAGTTATATACATAATCCTTTTGCTGTGCAAAAAAAAAAAAATGCATTTAGTAATTAATATGCATTCTAATGTTTTATTTTTACCCCCTATAAAACTTGGGGTTTATTCATTTTAATAATGATAAAATATCTAAGAAGAGATAGATTTGTCCAGAAGAGAAAGAAAATAAAAAATTAAAATAATGAATGCATTTATTACATTTTAATGTAAAAATAATATTTTTAAATTTTTTAACAAAATTTTTTCTATAATTAAAACAAAAATG